AGGGCTGGAGTGCTCCATGGAGAACATCACTCCTTGGACAAGACATAGCCTCTGAGACCTGCTACTCTATCATGTATAAATGGAGGTCACCAGTTTCTTAAAATATCAGATCCATACTACTATTACTCAAAATTTCCCACTAAATTAAATCTAAAAAATGGTTACCAATGTATCTATATGTATGAATCTCTCACTACCAATTAAAAAAAAATTGCATATAAATTTCATAATTGAATGCAGCAACTGCATCACTCTTGATTTTAAATTAAAAATAAAATGTTGTTGTAACTGTATGCCCTATAAAATACTGCTAGCAAACTGTTTCACCACTGTAACAAGAAAATGCCTATTCTCAAGCAATCAAATTCCATTTAACCCAAGACTTTATAAGCAGAAACTAACCTACGCAATTCCATTAAGAAATGTAACATACGTAAACCAGTAGAAAGTGTGGACCTCAGAGCATCAGCACATCATAGCCCTGGGGGATGCATCAGTTAAGAAATGATCTGTCTAGCTCTTCTCATCACAAACCAAAACAACAGGAAAAGGAAACTTGTATTAACAGTTTGAGTTTTTTGGATAACACAAGAAAGAATGACTATGCTTCCACTTAGTGCCATATCAACTGGTTTAGAGCATGTCCACATACAAGAAGTGAGAATCATGTATAGATTACTTAATCCAATCTACTCACCTGTCACAGTTTCTACTAACAGGCTGACTTAAATCAAGACAACCCCATCTCAAATAGCATTAAAATCTTCACCCCATTCTTTTCTGTACAGTTAATTGTCTCATTTGAAAGGACAACATGGCTAAACAATTATGTGACACCACACTACCACAGGAAATTGGAAGATTTTCACCATGTGTGGACAATATCCAATGTGTTTTACAGACTTTCAAATCCTATGCCCTTGGTGTCCACACTAAATCCTGCCTTGCACGAAAAAAGCAAATCAGAACGCTGAAGTAGAAAGTACTGTGACAGACACTGTTCTCAGGGGCCACAGAAGCTCCAGTTGAGGATCTTGTAGTAGGAACACAATGAAGCCTTCTGGCAGTCTGCTAGCCTGTGTTCGTTATTGCCACTTTCAGTCTCAGTCTCGCACCTCCTAACTAGTTCTCACTACACCTCCCGCCTGCTTCTGGTGGCTTCATCCTGACTTAGAAGGAAAAAGTACTGCAGAGAACAGAGACATGAAGAAGGGGTCAACATCCTTTGCCCCATGCAGGTGCCCCTGTGATACCCACAGAAACAATTATTTCCAGCTACTCAAGTGGTGATGAGCTACTGGACTGAGAGCCAGGAGCTGGAACATCAGAAACCATCTCAAGCTGGGAGCCTTATACCTCCCACAGGCACACTGCAACTTCACCAACACACTCAAGCACGTAAAGACGATAGTCTTCGCTGTTCCTTGTACCTCAGCATGACATGCCCAGAGCAGTGAGGACCTCGGGTAAAACTTGTAAGTTCGAAAAATTAAGTTTGAGTTGAAAATGCAGGCATTTGTGTGAAGCAGTCAAAGCTTCCATATGGGCCAGGAAAAAGACTGCTGACTTTAAAGGCATTGATTATTTCAGATTTCAGAGACAAGCTATCGGCATTACTTTGAGTAATGTAAAATGAATGTCTGTAATGCTGAAAACTGCTTTGTAAGTAGAAAAAAAAAGAAACCAAATCATCTGCTGCCAAAAAAAAATGATCTCCCTCCCTCCTTGAATAAAATCACTCTGCTGCCCGTAAAGGGAATAGATTTTCAGGACACAGTGTTTTGTCAGCAGTGTTATCTGCTATTTTGATAATTTCTGCTAATCTGCTACTTTGGCAACCCCCCATTTGCCACAAACACTTTATTTTGCTGAATTTTGCGGGGGCAGAAAAAACCTCAGGGAGCCATTGGAGACCAGGTGAAACTACTCAACGAACACGGTCCCAGCCACAGACGGGGAGAGACTTGCCAGCGATGCTTACTGTCAAATCCTCCACAATTCACAGTTTGAAATGACACGTAATGCAGGTGGAAGGCAAAAAATAGAGCTGAGATGTTGTAGCATGAGGTCTGAGACCAATTGCTGACTTTGGAACTATCATTTTACGTTTCTTGAAGGCACAGCACTTGCTGAGGTACAAAAAATGAGGTCTACATAGCTTTAGACTATGTCTGCACACACCTAGAGAGATCAATCTTTCAGATGAAGCGAGTCGGAAATCCTCTCTGCTGTAGGTAGCCATTCAAGGTTCTCTAAAGACTTTTATTAAAGGTTCCCTAAAGGTTTTCACCAGTACCTGGAGGCAAATTGTCTTCTTCCTGCTGCAGAGAGTGATAATTCATTGTCAGGATAAAAAAATCCCACGTGTAGTTGCATTTCAGCATGCTGTTAATGTCATTTCTATAATGCTTTGTGAGAGTATCTGTGTGAAGGAAAACAATTATGATCCTTTCTCTGCATGTGAGAGTGCATGTCCTTATCTAATAAGGAAGGAAGGAAGAGACAGCCTGTGCAAAGGTTGACCTGATAAAGGTTACTTCTGTCCACTCGCAAATCCCAGACTGCTTTCAAAATGAGAATTATGTGG